CTTAATCGGCGATGTGTATATTATAATTGGTAAAATAGGCCAGCCATCTAAATTTGCTCCAGACGGAGTTATTGCAGGGGTTCCCAGTTTGACATATAAGACTTTGAAAGGACTCTATAGACATATTTATGCGTATGAATTTTATTCAATATGAGAAAAAACTCACATGACGATTTTGGCGTAAATTAACTTTCACTAGGGTGGGTTATGTTAGTAATATTTATTAAATGTTTTACAAACATTTGCCAATGTTTTAATATTTTTAATCAGGGAATAATAGAGGTTGATTTTGGTATATAAAAATGATCACTGGTTGACATTTGTGAAGTTATTGCATTATGTTCAATATCGACGATGAAACCGAAGTATTCGTTGAAGCGATTTTCATAGTTTTTGCCGGTCCATGTCTAAAACGTTCATTATTATGGTCATAAATTGTTACTATTTTAGTGGATCCTTCCATTCTTGCATTTTGACACAAAAATTAAGTTTGTAACTGCTTAAATCGTCTTTTTATTAAAAAATTGTATTTTTGGGAAAATTGTCTATTTTTGCGATCGGCGAGTTTCATAAAATCGCTGATAAAATAATGTTTGCGCAATATCCCAGATTGCCATATTTATTTTTCTGTCTATACTATAGTTATAAAGATATGTAATTTTTAGGTCGGCCTATTTATGATACAACGAGTAAGTAAAAGTCAAGGGTGATTTGGAGCGAGTAATGCGAAGAATTTTACACTTTTCTGTATTGAATGACATACCCCATGATGTTGCCCACTTCTCAGTACGAGTAAGGACCCTCTGGAGGGCTAACTGGTCACTCTTATTGTAGATGGTGCGGTACAGTACAGCGTCGTCAGCAAAGAGGCGAATAGAAGTAGAAGGGTCAGTTTCCGCCAACAAATCATTTATAAAGGATAAGAACAGCAGTGTACCAAGCACTGAACCTTGGGGTATACCCGATGTGACAGCGGCCACATCCGACATGCTGCCGTTAACACAGACAATTTGAGATCTATCCTTCAAAAAGTCAGAGATCCATTTTAACGTAGTAGTATCCAAACCCAAGTGACCAAGTTTGCTTAGAAGTATTTGTAGTTGTCCGATTTGCATGATCTAGGTGTGGATTCCTATATTTCCAAGCCTGCAAAAGTGGATTTTCCTGTTTATAAAGCACACGGACACATATTTTTCAAGATGGCCACCAGATTGTCTGTTTTTTATTACGTAAGCTTTGCCCCGGCTAGTAAATGTTCAAAGTTATGCATAACATGCCACTGGTCCTCCAGCTGCTACTGTTCACATATGCAGCTGCAAAGTGATCTGCAGGGGAGCTCTGACTGAAAGCACTTGCATCTTCCTTTGCAACCTTTCTTACAGGAACACTTCGTCAGTTCCCGACAGCTCGCCGAAATAGGGGGTAGTGTTGTCCAACATATCTGCCATGTCTCTCCTTTCTGTGTCCACCCCCATTCAGCGGGACTGCTCGTGTCTGGATTGGAGATGGTTGCCTGGCCCCAGATGATCCCAGCCTGATAGGCCGCACGCTTTGCATGTTCTCTGAGGGCTGCCTGTGTTGGTGGAATTGAGTTGTACGGCCTCTGCTTGCGGGCAAAGAGATCTAATCTTGCTTCGTCCACACCAGTGGCTGCGCTTGATCTGTCGTACATGAGGACAACGAATCTCTCCAGCCTCTGCAGGTCAAGATCACAAATCAATGTTGGATGCTGGCTGAGATCAGTAAATCTTTCAGAAACATCATCAAATACGTTCCAAGTCTGCCATGCAGATTTCTTCGCTTTCCCACGGAAGGCAGACACGACGTCACATCCAGTGAACGCATGAAAGTATGGGATCTTTCTAGCTTTCTCAAGCCCTATTGCAGAAACTACCTCATAGACTGGAATCCGTCGCATCTTGGCTCCTTGGCCAAAAGCAATCCACATTTTCTCAAGACCTAGTTCCTGTAAGGATGGCAGTACAGATATTGCTATGACTAGCACGTCCGTGTCATTAGCCTTAATGATAATAGACTTGCTCCCATCAGTCGTTGCATCCCTGGCGTGTACAAATATTCGACTGTCGGCTTGTTCATGACAACATGGGGACACAGCATCCAGAGACTTCCTTGTGTTGCCAATGTCATTTTCTCCTTTTGTGACGATGACTGTGCTTGTCGTCTCTGCTTCACACATCTTTTCCGCAAGGAAGTGAAACAGCTCAGTCTTGTTGCTGGCGTCACGACGAAAGCTTTGCCAGTTACCTGGTGTCTTACTCGTTCCTGTCACTCTTCTTCTGATTTCCTGCCCCCTTTTCGACCTCGTCCCGGATTTCAGACTTGACTTCTTGTACACATCAAAGACTACGTCCACCCGCTCATACCTGGCACCATAGAATTCCACATTTGGGATGATGTCTTCTTTAGCATAGTCATCAAATGTCTTTGAAGTACGTAGATGTAAGAAATTGATAAGTGCTAAGCCATCAATGATGATTGCATTTCCTTTTGGTTCTCCGTCTGGGATGTTCACTTGCGCTTCAAGAATTTCAACCAGCTGTGACTTCTGACATGTATGAAGCTTGCCGCCGTCACTAAGAGATGCAGGGTGTGACTGATTCTTGTGCTTGAAGAATTCTTGCAAGTCACACTGCCTGTTCTGGCACGAGATGAACAGTCGCGAGAATAACTGACAGTCGTCTTTCAGGACTTTCTCCTTGGAAGTTCCCTTAGCCTGCTCTTGTTTAAAGAAAGAAACACGGTTTTTCTTGATTGGACGATAGAAAGGACTTTCACCTTCATCCTCTAGCCCCTCCATGAATGATTAAAACTGCTCTTTGCCCCGCCGGTGATGTGTAGCTACCATTTCAGCTAGAGTTGGGTCTGCAATGTTCTTCGTGTCTAGCACCAGCAGGTCGGCTGATTCTTCTTGGAATGGGTTGCCCATCTCCTGCATCACGGCAGAGAGTGATTTCACCTTTTCAAAGAAAGATTTCTGGGCACTCAGTGTCTGCTCATGGTGTCTGCTGCTGTAGGTGGCATCTTTCATAGGTCGCCCCTTCTGGCAGGATTGGCCTGGAGGGACTTTAGATCTTCTTTCTTAACCTCCTGACATAGGCAACACTTGGTCCAGTCAGTGTTCCACGATTTTACAGTAGAACTCGCGTCCATGGTCAGTATGACGTTCAGGGTCGAGGGTTTATCCTTTTACCACCATGTACATGTATAATATACACTTTCCTGTATGGGATACAACTAGATTTTTGCACCGTTCCCTACACCTAGTCCGATCGTTCATCCAGTGTCATAAGTCCCGTGCGATCTGTATACCATCCAACTAAAACCCCGTTATCTTTGGCTCGGCTCTCCCGCGCTGGCACGTCCTGTCCATTCAGGTGCGGCTGCCTAACTGATCCGGGGTTGATTAGGCAGAATTTGGGACACTAGTAGGTTGTTGCAGTATGATGCCAACATACATTTCCTAGCTGACACTGAACCCCATGCTGAGTTTCACAGCAGTGATGTCACCAATGTGCCTTGGTAGTGCCCGACAATCACTCCTTCAAGAACTTTATCAACTTCATGCACTTGAAAGTTTTAGAGCTAGATGTACTCCATCACACGCAGAGACCTTCTGTGTGCTACCCTCATCTAGTTTAGCCCGCGAGCCAACGCGGTTTACCAGGGTGTTGCCGATGCCGTGCACTAGCATCTTTTTGGAGCCATAGATAAGAGTTACACCAGTGGTGAGGACCAGTGCCAGTAGTCCATCCAATGGATGTGGCTGACTGCTGAAACAAAGGTACTGCATGAACAAATGAGCAAAGTAAGATAAATATGTGTCCGTGTGCTTTATAAACAGGAAAATCTACTTCAGCAGGCTTGAAAACATAAGAATCCACACCTAGATCATGCAAATCGGTCAACTACAAATACTTCTAAGCAAAACGTCAACTTCGGGAGGCTAATTTGTCGGCCATCTTGAAAAATCGCCACTATCTTGAATTTTCAATTGGCCAATCGGGCAGATTTGCATAGTATCACTTGGAGAACAAGTGTGCCAAGTTTGATGATTGTATCATCATTTTCACGATTTTTCTGTTATCTGCCCCGCTAGTACTGCATGGGCATTCGCAAACTCTTAGAATGGCCGCACAGGTAACTTTCGATTCAGATTTACTCCGAGCCCAGGGGCGTGTAAGAATTGCGAAAGCGGGTTACAGCAAAGAACATCGTCATTTCGTTTAATTTAATTGTTATCGCCAGCTAGGTTTCTGATGCTATCCGGAAAGGTACATTCATCACATGAAATCCATATTTTAATGTGTCTTACTATCAATCATGTCGTTGCGTACATGAGCGAAAGCACGTGATATCAGTTTCCTCCCACAGGTTTTGTTCTTGTCTGAAACCCGTAAATACTCTAAAACGATATTTGCTTCCCCTCAACTATTGTGAAAGCATGTATGAATTAAAACAGAAGGAAAACGCATGCTCGTATAGAGACCAAGTACACCCGCCGAGTTATAGGTAGAAAACGTCAGAAACCAGCGTGGTCAGATCTCAGAATGCAAGGCTGTGAGATAGCTATCTAGACATGGCAGTCAGCGGCAAAACGCTGACAAAGCGAACAGACATGAGGAGGAAAAAATATCGTGGTAGGTCGGCAAGTGACAACTCTAGCAAACTGCGGAAGAACACACAACCAGTCCAAAGAACGATTGGTATAGAGGCTCAACATGCAGCTGTCTAATTACTCCATCCTGGATTATCTCACGACAGTAGAGAACACTACAGTGATATCCAACCGTGAGCAGCAGCAACAATCTAATACATTTGCTGTAGTCGGACGTATAATTACTTCGTTCGTATTTGTTGTTGCAATAACAATAGCGATTTTAAATATTATTATAATCGTCGAATACGTACGGTTCGGCTTCCTTAGAACGCAAAAGAACTACTTTATCATTAGTTTGGCGGTCGCTGACATAACATCAGCGATGGTGATTGGTACAGCTATATTTGCGGATGAGTTCAACCCGGCTCCTCAGAAGATCCAATGCGTCATGGTGGTTTTCGTCGGCTGCGTAACATTTAGCGCTTCGGTGCTGGCGATTGGACTTGCGACGTTGGACCGCTACATAGCTATCGTCCATCCGTTTCGCTACAACCAGCTGATGACTGCTAGAGCAGCGAAACTCATGGTGATGTCCGTCTGGCTGTATACAACTGTGGTCGGTTCAGTGGCAGGAGCTCAGGCATTTACACGTTGGCGCCATGGAGCCTTGTGTGTTATTGATAAGGTAACCGCTAAGGAGTTCAGCTGGTATATGGCTGCCATCTACGTGGCCGTGTTGCTGTTCATGACGTACGCCTACATCGTTATAGGTCGGATCATGATTGACCACAGCCGACGTGTTGCCGCAGCAACAGATCAAGCGCAGCTTGAACAACTGTCCAGCTTTGCTGGAACGTTTAAAGTAGCCAAAATCATCCTGACGGTCGTTGGCGTGCCTTTCTTGCTGCTTAGTCCCCACATTCTACATATGGTTCTTTCGGAGCCTTTACGCAATACACACCCGCAGCTGCTCGCTATTTTGCGCCTAATGCGCAAAGGAACCATTTTCGTGAACATGATCCTGAATCTTATCATGTACTTCATGAAGTATGACGAGTTCCAAGTGGCAATAAGAAAGCTTTTTGGCAGGAACACAGCAAGTAAAGTGTTGGGCCAACACCACGTCTCGCACAGCAGGGAAGCGAACGTGTAGCTCACACCGTGGAACACGCAGCAGAAGCAGATGCAACTGAAATTTCGCAGAGAGAAAGACAGATGTCACACCTGGGGGGAAAGATGACAATCCGAGTAGGACAGGTGTCAAACAGTGAAAGACATGTGTCATACAAAGAAGGACAGGTGTCAAGAAGAGAAGAACATGCGTCACACCGAGAGGGACAGGGGACGCAGTGGTGTGTAGAGATGATACACAGAGCCGGACAGGCGTCACATGCAGTTGGAAAGATATTTGAAACAGAAGAGATGGTAGAGCTGGTAGGAGCGGCGCCAGATGCTGTAGAGCAGATGCCTGGCATGGAAAGACATAAGACAAATTCAGCAAAATATTTGCCTGATGAAAATTGATGGGTGGCAGCTAACGAAAGAGCGGTGACAGATGTGGAAGACTAGATGTGTAACGTAGATGCAGGCTTGACAAATATAGAGAAGCCAGCTACAACTTCATAGCTTAAAAAATCATGCAGAGTTTATTTACTGAATTACGAACTTTAAAAAATGTAATCGCTTAGAAGCCAGTGTAGTTTCCATCAAGGCAATTGCATTACGCTGCTAGAAAATCGGTTGCACGATCTGTATCATGACTATGTTAAGCGACAATGCAAACACCGTGAAAACCTACAACGAGAATGAACGTCAAAACCTGAACTAATATTATAACAGATTACGAAAGATTGTGCGTCAATAGTTTCTCTAACGTGTTACTCGTTGATTGAAACCTTCTAAATGTCATTGTTTGTTTCTGGCCTGATGGTGTCTTTTGTTAGATGCAATTCCCGTGTTTCGCTCAAACCGCCACAAAAATAACTTTGTCCTTTCATAAACCGCATCTTACAATGTTGCTAGCTGTTAATTCATCGCACACGCCTTTGCTATCACGCAATGACGTGTGATTCAATGTATCACCCACGTGACCTTTTCGAGAAACACTACCTCGTAGGAAGGATTTAGTCAGTGGAGTAAAACAGAGTGATAGGGCAAGTGACTGTGCAGTAGTGAAGCGGCACGTTGGTGATTACCAACACCAGCGAAAAACGATGACAGAATACAGAGGCAAGACAACGAAGGGAAGCGAATTACAATGGTAGATGAAGTGACGACGGTAGTGGACTGAGATTCATAGTAGCAAGCACGGCGAGACTGAAGAACAAAGCAAAGTTAAACCGAATATGAAAGCACAAAACATATTATTGTGTGAAACAGAGAGAGAGAGAGAGAGAGAGAGAGAGAGAGAGAGAGAGAGAGAGAGAGAGAGAGAGAGAGAGAGAGAGAGAGAGAGAGAGAGAGAGAGACAGAGAGAGATAAGATACCGAAAGACAGCCCGAGTGAGATAACAACTGCCAACGGAGAAGTAATGCAGACTACGATATGCGGCATTAAGCGGCAGCAACCGCTGTGACAAGGTGACGCTTTCCGCACGTACTATTACAAAGCCTAACTGAAGAGGAGAACAACTTGCGGCCAGTTAACATGGAGCCACGTAATTACACTGTCCTGTATGATAACGGCACTATAGAACACATCACAAACCACACCAACAGTGAAATCCAGGCTTCTCACAATTCGCAGGCTAATGTCGGGTTTCTTTATGGCGCGTTCGTGCTTGTGGTTGCGATCACTATCCTCGTGATAAATGCTCTCATAATGGTCGTATACGTCAGGTTCGACTTTCTAAGAACGCAAAGGAACTACTTCATCATTAATCTGGCATGTGCAGATACATTAACAGCGGTCGCAGTTGGAGCAACTGTATTCCTCAGAGCTTTCATACATGAGTATCATAAGACAAAGATAGCTTGTGGTATATACGTTTTTGTCGCCTACGTCTCACTTGGTGCATCAATGCTGACGATTGGACTTGCGACGTTGGACCGCTACATTGCTATCGTCCATTCCGTTTCCGCTACAGCCAGCTGATGACTCCTAGAGCAGCAAAATTTATGTTGCTGTCCGTCTGGCTGTATACAACTGGGTACGGGTTAATAGCAGTGGTTCAGGCGATCACGAGATGGCGACCCGGAATGTTGTGTGTTGTTGATATGATAACCAATAAATGGCTGAGCTGGTATGTCGCTATCACTACGCGCCGTGTTACTGTTCATGATGTACACAGTACGTCGTTTATAGGTCGAATCATGATTGACCACAGCCGGCGTGTTGCGCCAGCAACCAATCACCGCAGCTTCAACAACTGTCGCAGCACGACAACTGTCCAGCCTCGCTGGAACGTTCAAAGCAGCCAAACTCATCTTGACTGTCGTTGGCGTGTCCATCCTACTAATAAGTCCCAACATTTTACACATGTTTCTGGCGACGTCTATTGCAGATTGATTGACCGTGCCGGTAGATTGACCATTGATTGACCATTGCAAGATTGCATTTATTGACTATGCCATTCATTGTATATTTGCATTTTTGTATGTTTGCATATTTTGTGCATATTTTTCATGCATTGTTTTTAATATTTTTTGCATTGCATATTTTTTATTTTTTTATTTTTTTTATATTTGCATTTATTTATTTTTCATTTTTTTATGTTTGCATATTTCTTTGCATATTTTTCATGCATTCTTTGCATATTTTTTGCATTCTTTGCATATTTTTTATTTTTTTATATTTGCATTTTTTTATTTGCATTATTGCATATTTGCATATATATTCATTGCTATGACTATGCATTGATTGACTATGCCATTGATTGACTATTACCATTGCAATTGATTGACCATTGACCATTGATTGACCATGCAGGTATATTGACCAGACAGATGGGACGTCGAGGAGTCGTATTGAGTAGAGCAAGCAGAGAAAGCGGACGAGGAGGAGTCGAGCAGTGTTCAGAGAGAGGGGACGTACATGAGTCGAGTAAAGTGAGCAGAGAGAGAGCGGATGATAATGTGGAAAGAGCTAGAGATTTTAACACGCGTATAGAGTGAAATGAAGTCGTAAATTGTATAAAAATAAACAAAAATGTTACGGAATCATTGGTATGTTTGAGCGTATAGTAAGTAACCAGCGGAAGCGGTTAGGGAAAATCCGCAACAGGCACTGGCATTACAGACGACATTATAATAGTGTTCTCAAACTGGATGGTCGTGGGCGGTCTGGGGGAAGTCGCTAGGTTTACTTTGCTAGCTACACACAGTAGGTAAAATTCATACGCGCATTTGGTGTTCTGAAGTGGTAAATATGCATGTATAAGGTCAATAATATATATATATGTAAGTTTTAAAGTGAAGTAAAAGTCGCTCACACAAAATGAAATTTCGCAATTGAGTTTTCTCGTGGGAGCCATAAAGGAGGGTGCTGATGGGTTACTTCTATTTTACATTAAATATTTGCACCTTTATTCAGTTCGCAATAAGTATTTATACTTTACTAAAATTTGATAAAATCACTAAAATAAGCCCAAATCCAAGCGGTCTTAGAATTCGTATAATATATGCCTGAGGCAAAATGAAAGTCAAGGTAACGAATGATAGGCGTTCTAATGCTATTATATATATATTAGATATTAAATAATATCCTCGAAATTGGAAAGAAGCATATATAAATAAATAAATAATAGTAGGTACTGAGGTAGATTATAGTATGCTGTGTGTGTAGTAGTGTGCTGTTACGTGCTAGTGTTATGGTGAGTGATTGTGTTTTTTGTGTGTGTGTGTGTGTGTGCGTTTGTGGTGTGTGTGTGAAGTATTATTTCTGGGAAGGGATCGAGACATGTCTGGCAAAAATAAAGCAGCTGAATCCACCGAACACTGGAACCGATTTATAAAATCGTTGTATGTACGCTAACAAGTTAAGATACGGACCAATATCAGTCCTCACCACTTATACACCGACCAGTCAAGCATCATTCCATCCGTAGGTTACCAACATGGCACGCATTTTACATCACCGTGGGGTATATTATTGAACATCGCGTCGTCTAACCGGTAAATACTCGTGATTCATTTTTTCAGAATCCTGTGAACTTCCCATAGAAACATATATCTAGAGACACCTAATATTCTACACTAGTAGGCGGCTATATGTAAGCGCCTGTCCTTCCGACAGCGTCACGTAGTGGTGACTTGTGTACCAACGTTAAGTCAGAGCCAAGAATACAGAAGAAGCCGCCGTTACCATGATTTAGACGTTTTAGCTATGATTTCTGTAGCGTTAAACAGCCAGTTGTCGCGGTCGTTCTGCCGGTCGCTATGGTAGAAGCCGAAATTCCGTCGTCTCCACTGGCCCTCGTCTATATAAACGGCAGCCCCGACCGCGCCCGTGCGTGCGTCACGCGCTTGCGTTCACGCGCGCCGTCATCTACATCTAAGACCCGCACGTTATGCTGATACAGGCCCTGCGTCTTAGGGCTCTATCATCTCCCGCGAGCGAAAGCGCCATCGTTCCCGCAACCGCCTTACTCAGTCACGCCCCATCACTTGAGGGTTTCTATTCAAACAGACTGCTCGATCGCCTCCAGACTACGCGCCACTCCTCACGTCCTTCATAGAGAGAGAAGGATTCATCCTCCTCGACGCTTCTGCCCTTCTCGCCAAACTGGTTGCACCAGATCACGCCCTTCCATAGAGCATCTTATCAGACACTCTGAAAGCGTTAGGAGTTGCGCAAGGGGCTTTCCCGCCCGACCGGTCTGCGAGATAGAGACATACCCTCGCTCCCACAACTCGGTGCTGACTCTCGCGTAAAAGACATTCCAGGCACCAATAAGAACCTCTAGCAAAGAGATATAGGGCGCGCACTCTGCACACCTGTTACACAGACACGCCCTGCACTTTAGATGCTCTATTCAAGCTCTCGACGCGAGGAAGCGCGAGGCCTAAACCAATTCAATAACATAAACGGCTACAATCCAACATACTGCTAAGGACGTGCATACTAGCACTTAAGTGTCAGCATTGCATCTGTAATCGAACGCGTAACTCGCCCTTTGCAATCACTCACTCGCGCATAGCGCCGTGGCTTTTTATGCACCCCTATGGACTCGCTAATATAAGCTATACTATAGGCATGCATAGATGCTGCTTTACGCTACTACATAATATATTTCTCGGATACTCCAGACAGGACTGTGTGACGAAAACTTCAAAATAAAAGTAAACGAAACTGCATAGGTTAAATAAAGTTTTCTGAATGTTTCATTTGTATCTGTAGGCCTACAGACGTTTTTGTATGAATACGATGTTGGGAGGGCACCCAGTCTTTTTGCATGCCTAAGATTGCGAGAAATTGCAGTTACCATACTATAACGTCTATCCTAGTCGTTATGAACACACCCAAATAAGGAATTCTCTTTTCTATTTCATCGTGCGATGCTGGTTGTCGTTGGCGTGCCTGTAGGCCTATTATTTTCATGGGAAAGCAATTCTACGGACCCTTCAGCAAAGGGGCACATAACGAAGTTTGAGAAAGATGCAGTAACTAATCTCAAGCTTAAAAAAGCATTTTATTATTCATTTCCACAAGGAAAATGTACGAAATTAAATATTTCCAACTTCCAAGCATTTTTGAACTTTCCAGAAACAATATGCCATCATTTCACGCATTTCTCAACAAAGCTTATCTGCGAGCATACACGCCGTGCCCAGAAACATCCGGTTAGTCTACTTCCCACTTCTTTACTGCTCATTACCATCTAATCTCAGAATACTCGAATCGTCCTCAGCTGTCAGATTTTTCCACGGCACGGAAGACAAGGAGACACAGAGTAGAGGTCCAAGCAATATGCATGATTAAACTGAGTACGGGAAGAGGAAGAAAGGGGCAGAAGACATTAGAAACATGATACATCAGAAGTAGTCGAAGACATGCAGACTGAGAAAGGACGTGAGGGACCACGTGAGTAGAACACTGTCTCATGGTAGAAAGACAGCTGGCGATTCAAAAGACGAAAGGTGACAGACTGGAGAAGACGAAGCGTGTAAGCAGAATGGATACTTGACAGACTGATAAGGAACAGCCAAATAGCAGAAATAGGGAAACAGAACGGACAAAAAATGCAAAATAAAAACGTGCAGCAGAGTCGAGCCAAAACAATTAAGCGTAGACAGACGAAAGTTGTAGACATCTACCAACCGTGGAATGCAGCTGGCCACGCGTAAGTCTATGTTGAGCTATATGGCTACGATATGTCAGTGTATCGTAGTGCAGGAGGCTGTGGCCTTGTCGATGAACTGACAGAGACTATATTGTCGCAAGATACAATCCTCCTACCGTATTTACCTGAGTATGCGTCGTGTTATCGTCTTACACTTATACTTGGAGTTATAGCACTTTATTGGTGGAAATCATTATGAACGGCTTCTAATGGCTCTTTCTCTCGAGTTGTAACGCCTCGTTATCGTAAAGCAGCGCGTTACACGTGCGTATACTTGTATTCATGTGTGTTGTTTATATACATGATATCAGAATTTCACGGACAGTAGCCAATGGCTAACATAGAGCTGCATTGCATGTTCCTGTTGCATACGCGCTACAATTACTGGGCCGGTCGGATTGAGCGTCGAGCAGCGCATCGTGCCGACGTGGACATTGTATTCGAAGCAAGTGAGACCACGTAGCTCACTCTAAGCATTTTCTCACTGTTGCTTACTGTTGAGACAAGCATTTGCTGCCACTCATGCAGACAGTGAGGTAGGGTTGCTCGCCAACCACGGCAGCACGCGTGTACCCGCTAAACTGCACGATGTATTACCGTATGTGCTGTCGCGAAAACAATTGTTGCTGTTCGGCTGCTCTAAATTTTCATTACCTATCACACTTATGTGCCATTATTATCGCCTGTCAATGATGTTATTCGCGTCTCTAATCTGGAGACTCTAAAAGGTATATGTGTTCTTGTGGGACTTGTACTACTTGTTGAATTTGCCTAGATATACGCATATTCTACAAGGTGTTTTCAAGTGACCTCACTCCTGAATTAGAGCACAATGCAGCTACGTCTCCCTGCATCGTTCTCCACTAGTGTAATCCACTATCGTACCTATTCGTAAAAATGCAATATATGTAAATGGTATTGAAAAAACATTGAGTTGTGTTTATTACGCACAGTGTCGTGACTGAGCGGCATTCGCCATCTGTGGACATTGATTACTGTTCTTCCTATTTTACTATTAAGGGTTAATAAGGACAAATTGTCATTATGTCACTATTGACAATTTGTTATTATTAACCACTGCTACTATATTACACATTGTTACGAAAACGCTTGCTACAAATTGTGTTAATTAGGTTATTTTATCTCGTTATCGTCCTTATAGTGTAAACCGCTATGAAATTCGCATAAGTCACTATATTATGTAGTATTCGTGATTCCATGTTATTACGCGATGTTATGCCCAATGTCAAGTATATATTATGTTATATATAATGCGTTACGCTCCGTAGCATTAGAACTTGTCCCATATTATGCACACGTTGTAATTGAAGGAACTACAGATACACATGGGTTAGTATGCGTTGCAATCATATGAATCTTGTGCGTTCCTATTTGCTGACAGTTATACTCCTAGTTACTAGGTGTAAACGCGCGATATTTCCGTGTTCATCACATTGGAAGCGAGAGTCGTGACCGTATCGATGGAAAAAGACTTGAGTTGATATATAAACGCGGCCGATTGCGCTCTATTCTGTACATGTTACCGTGGCTATTGTGATGAGTAAAACAGCGATTGTAGAGGTGTTCATTGACTTGAGCTACTGCATTTCATTGAGGTTATCGCTACATCCACTTGTGCAGATAGAACGTTTGAGACAGGGATACTTCTGGACTCTCCCCGGGAATCACAAAACATTAATTCCATCACTGAACTACCAGTGTCCGGTACGTAGCAGTGCACGATATATATGAACATATATTAGGTACAACGTTTGCGACATGAGTAGGAGAATGATCATGATTCAAATAGACGCTCTGAGCTAAATGGAATAAATTAAAGAAGTAAATCTATCGGCGTCGGTTTCCGTATGGTGTTGTTCAGTAAGAGAGAAATAGATCGTTGAAATTACACGTTTGCTGTAGGTATACTATGTCCATTAATCTGTCACGGTTGCCCTGAGTTAGATCATTGTAATTTCTAAAGTGCTAGCTTGTGATTGGAATCACATATATAAAGAATCTCATCAGACATGACATAAACCACTGGCGGATGGTAGCATATACGGTCTAATCTGGGTTCCCGCACGGCAAAGTATCTGAGAATAATGAGCATTTCAAATGAACTTATTAATATAACATGCAGTAGTGAAAAATCGTCCCGAGGTAGGCTACTAGCCAGCTTTATTATTTATAAAGTGACATGTTGTGATAGACATGTATTACTCAATCGCTTTAAATTTTTATTGATATACAATTCCATCCCGCAGGTACTGCATGGGCATGCGCAAACTCTTAGCATGGCAGCACAGGTAACTTTCGATTCAGATTTACTCCGAGCCCAGGGGCGTGTAGGAATTGCGAAAGCGGGTTACAGCAGAGAACATCGTCATTTCGTTTAATTTAATTGTTATCGCTAGCTGGGTTTTTGATGCTATCCGGAGAGGTACATTCATCACATGAAATCCATATTTTAATGTGTCTTACTATCAATCATGTCGTTACATACATGAGCGAAAGCACGTGAGATCAGTTTCTTCACACATGTTGTCTGAAACCCGCAAATACTCTAAAACGATATTTGCTTCCTCTCAACTCTTGTGAAAGCATGTATGAATCAAAACTGCAGGAAAACGCAGGCTCGTATAGAGAGAGACCAAGTAAACCCGCCGAGTTATAGGTAGAAAACGTCGGAAACCAGTGTGGTCAGATCTTAGAATGCAAGGCTGTGAGATAGCTATATAGACACAGCAGTCAGCGGCAGAACGCTGACAGAGTGAACAGACACGAGGCAAAAATATCGTGGTAGGTCGGTAAGTGACAACTCTAGCAAACTGAGGAAGAACACACAACCTGTGCAAAGAACGATTGGTATAGAGGCTCAACATGCAGCTGTCTAATTACTCCATCCTGGATTATCTCACGACAGTAGAGAACACTACAGTGATATCCAGCAGTGAGCAGCAGCAGCAATCTAATACATTTCCGGTAATCGGACGTGTAATTACTTCGTTCGTATTTGTTGTTACAATAACAATAGCGATTTTAAATATTATTATAATCGTCGTATACGTACGTTTCGACTTCCTTAGAACGCAAAAGAACTACTTTATCATTAGTTTGGCGTGCGCTGACATAACATCAGCGATGTGATTGGCACAGCTATATTAGCGGATGAGTTCAATCCGGCTCCTCAGAAGATCCAATGCGTCATGGTGGTTTTCGTCGGCTGCGTAACATTTAGCGCTTCGGTGCTGACGATTGGACTTGCGACGTTGGACCGCTACATAGCTATCGTCTATCCGTTTCGCTACAACCAGCTGATGACTCCTAGAGCAGCGAAACTCATGGTGATGTCCGTCTGGCTGTATAAAACTGCGGTCGGTTCAGTGGCAGGAGCTCAGGCCTTTATACGTTGGCGTCATGGAGCCAAACTGGATACACAGACCCGGACAGTCGTCACCTGCAGTTGGGAAGATGTCTGAAACAAAAGAGATGGTATAGAGCTGGTAGGAGCGGCGCCAGATGCTGTAGAGCAGATGCCTGACACGAAAGGACATGAGACAAATTCAGTAAAATATTTGCCTGATGAAGATCGATGTGTGGCAGCTAACGAAAGAGCGTTGACAGAGGTGGAAGACTATAGATGTGTAACGTAGATGCAGGCATGACAAATAGAAAACCCAGCTACATCTTCATAGCTTAAAAAGATGTCATGCGAAATCTTAATAGACCTTATTTACTGAAATACTAACTTAAATATCTAATCGCTTAGAGGCCAGTGTAGGTTCCATCAAGGCAATTGCGTTACGCGATGCTATAAAATCGGTAGCACGATCTGCATCATGACTAGGTAAGGCGACAAGGCAAACACAGTGAAAAACTGCAATGTTAGTAAACATCAAAACCTGAACTAACATGATCACAGACTACGAATGATTGTTTTTGCGTCAATAGTTTCTGTATCGCGTAACGTACTGATTGAAACCTTCTAAATGTAATTGTCTGTTTCTGGCCTAATGGTGTCTTTTGTTAGATGCAATTCCCGTGTTTTGCGCAAATCTTACACAAATAACGTCGTTCCTTTAATAGCTGCCATAAGCCGCATCTTACAATGTCGCTAGCTGTTAATTCATCGCACACGCCCTTGCCATCACGTAATGACGTGTGATTCAATGTATCACCCACGTGACTTTTTCGAGCAACACTACCTTGTAGGAAGGATTTAGTCCGTGGAGTAAAACAGAGTGACAGGGCAAGTGACTGTGCAGTAGTGAAGCGGCACGTTGGTAATTACCAACACCAGCGAAAAACGCTGACAGAATACAGAGGCAAGACAACGAAGGGAAGCGAATTACAATGGTAGATGAAGTGACGAACTGGTGTGGACGAGATTCATCAGTTAGCAGCACGGCTCGCGAATGGAAGAACAAAGCAAAGTTTAACGAATATAAAGCCACAAGCATATTAGTTGTGTGAAGCAGAGAGAGTGGAGAGAGACGGAGAGAGAGAGAGAGACGGAGGATCGAGGAGAGAGAGATGAGAGAGGATAAGATACGAAAGACAGCCGAGTGAGATAACAAGCCTGACCAACGGAGAAGCTAATGCAGACTACGATATAGGCATTCATAGCGGCAGCAACGCATGTTACAGGGTGCGCCTTTCCGATCACGTACTATTACAAAGCCTAACTTGAGAGGAGAACACTTGCGGCCAGTTACATGTGAGTCCAGTATTACCTTGTCCCTGGATGTTAAGGCACTATAGAACACATCACAAACCACACCAACAGTGAAATCCAAGCTTCTCACAATTCGCAGGCTAATGTCGGGTTTCTTTATGGTGCGATCGGGCTTGTGGTTGCGATCACCATTCTCGTGTTAAATGCTCTCATAATAGTCGTATACGTCAGGTTCGACTTTCTTAGAACGCAAAGGAACTACTTCATCATTAATCTGGCATGTGCCGATACATTAACAGCGGTCGCAGCTGGAGCAACTGTATTCCTCAAAGCTTTCGTACACGAGTATCATGCGACACAGCTAGCTTGTGGAATATTTGTTTTTGTCGTCTACGTCTCAAATGGTGCATCAATTCTGACGATTGGACTTGCGACGTTGGACCGCTACATTGCTATCGTCCATCCGTTTCGCTACAGCCAGCTGATGACTCCTAGAGCAGCAAAATTCATGTTGCTGTCCGTCTGGCTGTATACAACTGGGTACGGGTCAATAGCCGTGGTTCAGGCGATCAAAAGATGGCGACCCGGAATGTTGTGTGTTATTGATATGATAACCAATAAATGGCTGAGCTGGTATGTTGCTATCAATTACGCGGCCGTGTTACTGTTCATGACGTACGCGTACGTCGTTATAGGTCGGATCATGATTGACCACAGCCGACGTGTTGCCGCAGCAACTAATCAAACGCAGCTTCAACAACTGTCTAGCCTCGCTGGAACGTTCAAAGCAGCCAAACTCATCCTGACTGTCGTTGGCGTGTCCATCCTACTAATAAGTCCCAACATTTTACACACGTTTCTGGCGACGTCTATTGCAGAAACACGCCCGCGGGCGCTCAACGCACTGCGCCAGATACGAATTGCAGCTCTTTTCGTGAACATGTTTCTGAACCCTATCATGTACTTCATGAAGTATGACGAGTTTAGGGTGGCAATAAGGAAGCTTCTAGGTAGATACAGAGCGAGGGTTGAACCAGCAACAACACACACGCCGCACATCAGAGAAAATTTGGCTCAGGTAGATGGACAAATATCAGAAGCAGAAGCAGGACAAATGTCACACAGTGAGGGACATGTGTCATACAATAGAGAAAATGTATCACACAGTGGAGGACAAGTGACACACATACAAGGACAGATGACACACAGTGGAGGACAGGTGACACACATAGAAAGACATGTATCACCCACAGGAGAAGAGGTCTCACACATAGGAGGACAAGTGACGCACATAAAAAGACAGGTGACACACAGTGGAGAACAGGTGACACACGGAGAAGGACATATGTCACCCACAGGAGAACAGGTCTCACACATAGGAGGACAAGTATCTGGTAAGGCAGGAGAGCAGACCCCCGAAAGAGAAGAGATTCTAGACGGAGAAGTCGCGAGGCCAGATGGAATCGAGACTATGTATGAAATGGAAGGATATGAGATAGATAGAGCAACGTAGGGAACACACACACACGCACGGACACACACAC